ATTAGTTTTTTTATTTTATATTTTATTTTATTTGAGGTCAATTAATATGTGTTTTGAGAAATATGGAAAATGTTTTTGATATTCAAACCCTGACTAAGTTGGCTCGAGGGGGAACTGTGTCTTCTGTTCATTTTCCCAGTGGACACATTTATTAACGCTCATGTGAGTCTGTACCGTTTTCATGATATTTGATGGTCCAGTCCAGATCGTCTTCATTATCCTGCACCCATTCACACGCACCGCGATCAAAGTCACAGTCTGTCAGGAATCCTGCTCAAATAAACACATACAGCACTTCATCAAATCATCTGAATGCTGGAAAGACAAAAGCGTTTGGTTATAATCTGAAGAGTTTGCTTACTTTCCTTCAGCGGCGCTGCCTGGATCTCCTTCGGCTCAGATTCTGGACCGTAAACAGGCACAAAATCATCTGGAACTACAAACGGAAAAACACACAGGTCATAAAGAGCATTTCCAACATTTGCCTTCAGTCTCTGTCAAACCAGAACAGACAGAATAAAAGCATGTCTGATCCAAATGCTGTTCCAGCAGCGCTCAACAGGGGGCGTCACAACAGAAAACTTGACCTGAAATAGATATGCTTTTACCTGAAGGAAATATCAGTGCTGGTAGAGTAGTCTAACTTTATTTAGAATAATGTTTTCATGACTCTCTTGAATGAATAATGCACACTAACTAAAGTTAAAGAGCTTAATTATGATTTCATGCTGACTTTAAGTGGTTTAAAGATGAATTAATGGCAAAAGTTTACTAATTAGGGCTATAAGTTTAGAACAAACCCTAAACATAGTGTTTGAGGTTAAGAAAAGTCACACACACACACACACACACACACACACACACACACACACACACACACACACACTTATGTTTAAGATGTATTAACTTCTGATTATACTGTTATTTTAATCACTGTTTTTTATATTTTATTTTTAATAAATAGTTACAAATCATATTAATGTTATTATAATTTAATATTTATTTATTTTGCACTATTAATATTTTATTTTACTTAAATTAGTGGTCAGTTTTTGATTCAGATTTTGTTCTTACATTGTGCCTAGCAAACTCTAGAAAATCTTTCAGGTTCTTTTAATAAATCAGTTATTTTAAGCATATATTCTAAGATTTTTATTTAATTTTTATTTGTTATTTTAAATGTGTTAAAAACAGTAGTCCTACATTTTTCGCATTTAAAACATGCTTATCATTAACTAAAACTAAAAACATTAAAAAACAATTATGTACACACACACAAAAAGATATTGTAATATTACATAAATGCGAAGACAATAAGATTATTTTATTAATTTATGATTTCTGAGAATACTGTTATTTCAGTCACTTTCATATTTTAGTATTTAATTTTGAAAAAATATAGGAAACTAATATTAATGTAGTTACTTTTATTTATTTATTTATTCATTCATTCACTACCAATATTTAATTTTATTTAAATAAGAGGTCCGTTTTTATATGGATTTTTATTTTATTTTAATTTTTTTTACAGTTCTGACTAGCTATATATATATATATATATATATATATATACACATCAGCTTCTCTTGATAAATCAGGGAAAGCCCCTACTAGAAAGCGAATATCTGTAGAAAACGAGAAGAATCCTGCAAGTGGACACTTGTCTGTGCTTTCAGACTCTTCTGTGGTGTTTATTTGAGCAGACACGCAGTCAGACTAATGGAAAGAGAGAGAGCTGATGATGAAAGACTGTCAAACAGCTGTTCTGACGCCGATAATAAAAGGCTCCAGCTCTTTCCGGCCATTTGTCCCTCTGGGAAAGAGAGGAAGAGGGGAATTTTCTCCCCAGAGCTCATGTGTGTCTTGGGCTTGTCTCCTCCTGTCTGATCTCTAACATGATCAGGGACAGAGGGGGATTCTGTCGGGTGTTCAGTCTTGTCGAGAAATTTAGAGTTTAAAGACCATCTCAGACACAATACCTTTCATACAAAAACAATGATTTTGCTTTAAAGTTATCTTTTCCTGCAGAACTAAATGATTGTATGCCTTGGGCTTTAAATATAAATAACCTCTCTACATGAAAAAAAACAAAAAAAAACACAACAGACAGACAGACAGACCGACCGACAGACAGACAGACAGACAGATAGATAGATAGATAGACAGATAGACAGACAGACAGACAGACAGACAGACAGACAGACAGACAGACAGACAGACAGACAGACAGACAGACAGACAGACAGACAGACAGACAGACAGACAGATAGATAGATAGATAGATAGATAGACGGATAGACGGACAGATAGACAGACAGACAGACAGACAGACAGATAGATAGACAGACAGACAGAAAGACCGACCGACAGACAGACAGACAGATAGATAGATAGATAGACAGA